ACACACTGTTGGTCCGCATTTTGGCGGCAGCTGTCGAGCTGGGTGAAGGGGTATACCTCGGTGCGGTCCAGTGCCTATTGAGCATCCATTACACACCCATACACACCCATACACACCCGTCTATCCATATGTTCACTCACCCGCGGAGGGCCCATTCATCCTCCTCCATGTGGGGCCTGGAGGTAGTACGACACGACACGGCACGCCGCTGTACGGCGGTGTGTCCTTGGTCGGCGGTGGTGCCACCGTCGTTGGTGTGGCGGCTGTCATCCAATGCCGCTGACATTGCCGCCGCCATACTTGTCTGTCTGTCTGTCTGTCTGTCTGTCTACCTGACTGACCGACTATTGGGGAGTGTGTTTTGGAGTTGATTCTCCCTTCTCCTTGGCCCCTCCTCCCCCACTTCCTTGTCCTCCCCCCAAAGGACGGTGTCTCCTCGACTGTTGAAGTCGTCTGGGGAGGCCGTGTGGGCGTTTAGGCATCTACGTGTGCATGCATGCATGTATTTGTGTATGTATGTATTTATGGGGGGTGTCTCTTTAATCAGTGTATTGCGCGCGCGTGCGTATGTATGTGCGTGTATATATGTATGTATATATGCGTATGAATGTCCGCTGTCTTACCATTTTGCGTCGGGCAGCTGCGTTGTGAGCTACGACTACTACGACGACGGGGAACATGGAGCACGAGAGTACACCTCTTTGGTTGCACTGCAACTGCCTGCCCGTCAGGTCCCCCCGAACCCCCCCCCTCGCGTATCGATGTTTCCGTAAACCCAACCTGCCGCCTACCGCTATTATACTCCTCAACCGGTCTTGTGAGTAGTGTGCACGTATGTATGTATGTATGTATGTATGTATGTATGTATGTATGTATGTATGTATGTATGTGCGGAATGCGGTATCAAACACGAGGCGGTATGAGGTTTTGTGTTTGTGAGTTTTGGGGGGGAGGGGGGGGGGAAGAAAATAGTTGAATTTATAACAAGCTTTTTAATGTACGTGTCTCTCGTGTCGTCCTGGAGCGAAGGATGTCTTTACAACGAACGCCTCTGTATTTAATCAGGTCAATAAGCGCCAATTCGGAATTTGGTAGAAGGGTCGAAATTTTGTGTGTGATGGCGTGGTGGTTGCCTTGGGCCCGTGTGGGGATGGAAGAGGTTGCGCAGTGGGAGGGGCGGGATGCGGGTCGTGGGTGCGGAGCTGGATCCTCTAGTTGAGCTTTCGGTTGAATGCGGAGCGGTCGTACGGAGCATATCGTAAGCGCGGGCGAGGCTGAAGAGGGGGAGGAAGAGAAATATATGTGTGTGTGTGGGGGGGGGTGTTATGTGCCTCATGTATCTTGAGGAGGTATGCTACGTGCTATCTTGGGTTGGGTTTTAAGTGTGCAGTTCCGGATGAAGGATTGCCTCATCTGCGAATGACAACAGCAAAAGTGTATTCACCAGAGAAGGCTAGCGTGGAAAGGGGGCTGCAGGTCGCTTTGAGCAGAGGAGCTCCTACCTGCCTGCCTGCCTACCTGCCTGCCTGCCTGCCTGCCTGCCTGCCTGCCTGCCTGCCTGCCTGCCTGCCTCCGTGCTTTGCAATGCTTTGTGCCTGTTTCTGTATCGACCCTTACACACGGCACCATCATAAAGCAAATGGCGTGGGGCGTGCCAGGGGGTTTTGAATCCTATCCCATACGGCCCTAAAATCCTAGCCATACACATACACACACATACACATACACACATACATACAAACATATACATACACACATATATGTACATACATATATACATACATACGTACACCCCACCAGACAGCCGAATGGCAGCAGCTATCGCAGTGAGTCCTCTACCCGAACCCCCATCCTAGGGGAAATCGTAACTATTACCCACTTGCCGACCTGGCCCGCTCATCCCCCTCATGCCGCTCCTCTTCCTCTCCTTCCACAACACTGAAATCCCGGCAGTACGTGTCTCCTTTAGGCAGCAGCTTCCCTAGCTGAACAAGGAACTCCTGCTCCAAGAGTGACCGCAGGACGGCCGACCCGCGGGACAGCTGTGTGCTATGCCGTATATGCTGTGTCTGCTGCGGGATATGCTGCTGTGACATGGTACCGCCCCCGCCCCCACCACCACCCCCAGCACCACCCCCACCACCACCACCACCCCCACCACCAGCACCAGCCCCACCCCCAGCACCAGCCCCAGCCCGACCGGCAGATGTGACGCCAGCGGCCACCACCTCCGTACGGCAGACGTACTTGGCCTTGTCCTCGGGAACCCCGGAACCCGCCCACGGACCTGTACGCGGCGGTGGAACGTGTGGGGGGCATCAGGGGAAATTACACAGCCGCATACAGACACACATACATACACACACGCGCGCGCGCGTGCGGCGAGCAGAGAGCACTGGATTGAAGAAAAGAGCAAAGACACACGTTTTGCAACCAGTAATATACTTGGTGTGACGCAGACACATAGACATAAAGACATGTCGACACACAGACATACAGACACATAGAAATACAAACACACAGACATACAGACAAACAGACGCGTGCCCGGTTTCGATTATTCCAGGGCTCCGGCGTGAAGTCCGGTCAGATGGCACTCGGTGATAGTGCGCCCTCCAGCTGCGGCCGGCAGCACCGCCCCACCCACCCCCCTGCAGCCCCAGGCCCGTTGGAGCCCCGCCTGCCTCATTACGGGTGGGGGTTACAAGGCTCTCCCCCCTCCCCCCTCCCTGCCACCACCAGTCCCTTCACCCCGCAGTCGGCAATGCATGTTTCCCTCCCTTTCCTTCCTTCCCTTTACACAGCCCGCCATCATATCACCTGTGGCTAGTGTCACCAGCGCCCCGTCAGCTCGGCACAGGGCTACCAGCCAGCCCTTCATGAAGCGATGTTGGGGGTCGGACAAGTCCCTGGACGGGCCGGAGAAGTCGGCCAGGGAGAGCGGCTGTAGTCGGAAGCGGTGACGTAGCTCCCAGTCGTCCTGACGGTGATGATGATGATGATGATGAGGGGGGAGTAGGGGAGTGGGAGGAAAGGGATGAAAGTATTATCCTTATAATACCTTACGGGGCAAAATCACAAAGTATGTTGCAAAGAGAGGTGCTGAGAGGCGAAAGCGGTTCAAAAAACCCGAAAAGCAAAACTTCCCCAAACAGGTTCTCCTCCCCCCGTTCAACCGATGCCAGCCCCGTGCGCACCTCTTCCAGCTGATGCAGCTCCCAGTACTCCCCCTCCGCCTTCTCGCCTTCCCCCTTTTCAGCCGCCGTCGCCACCATTTCCCCCCCCGCCCAGGGTGGCTGCTGACGTTGTTGGCTGTCTAGCATGAAGCACCTGCCGTCCGACTGCAGCTGCTCCGACCCACGGGTCAGCAGCAGGGGCTCCAGAGGCCGCAACGGGAACCCCACCTGGACGCGAAGGGGGAAGTTGAAAATGCGACACATACATACATACATACGTACATACACACGCATACCCACATCGCAGTAGTACTGGGTGCGGTCGGGGAAGTTGACCAGCAGGCTGGCGTGTGTGTTGGCGGCGGTCCACCCGTCGTGCCAGACCTGGGGGACGGGTTCGGAAGAAGGGGAAGGGAGGCATGCAGTACACGGCAGTACGACAGCCCCAGTTGTTGCCACTTCAACAGTGGCAATGCTAATCGCAGCTACATCACTCCTCCAAGAGCTCCGGCTTTAGGTACTGCTGGTATGGCGCCTGCTACCGCGCGACGGGGCTTGCTCCCTTTTGGTGCTGATTATGAATCCTACAACTACTCTACATGCCGCTGCCGGGTTGCTGCCGCTGGTACGGCATCTTGCTGCCTGGGCCTTACCTGGCCTCCAAGGTACGTGACATCGAAGCCCAGGCGTTCCAGAGCGGAACCCATAAGTGCCACGTGCTCGAAGCAGACGCCGCCCCAACGTTTGACCAACTAAAACGTTTTAGAAGAGGGAGGAAAGATAGGGACACGGGTAAAAAAGGGGAGGGAAGGAAACCTCTAAAGGAGTTCACTCCAGGAGGGGAGAGCAGATTGACGATAAACGCGCGGCATGTATCCCCTGTCAGCTAACCCTTGGCAAGGCAACAAAGGCTAAATCATATACATATTGGCATGGTTATTCATCTTATGCCCTAAGCCTTGCAGGTTACTGTTAAAATACGGTCGGAACTACACGCATGATAGAGGAAAGCTCACCATGCGCTCGGCGATGCCATCCACTTTCAGTTCCGGGTCCACAGGATGCCCACAAACGATCGGAATGGAGCAGAAAGGTAGCGTTCGAACGTGATGTGAATAAATAAGCTTCAAAGTGTCTGGGTCTGCGCCATGAATCAGCTGCGCTGGAGTCACTCCAATTACTTTCAAGTAGATATCAATGTCCATGATGTCGATGATGAAAAATCGGAAAGAAAGAAAAAACTAAGTTGAACTTAACCTGGATGAAGACATTTATGGATACTTCTGCCTGGACAGCGGTTAAGGCCTTGCAGCTGCACTACTAATGCAGCATGGAAAATCAGTACTATGACCATCCTGTTTGAATTAAAGCGTGTCTGTTACCTCCAGCCTCGACGACTAACCGTCCGCGCATGCAAGTTGCGGCAAGCGGCGAACCCACGCCTGAACCGGCATAGCGACCATCCCCGCTGTGCCGCGTTCGACACCTTCCCCCCAAAAACCAACGCTCCCAAGAACCGGCGCTACACAGCGAGGCAACGTCACCGAACCAAAATCAGCCAAGTTTCTTATTCAGCCGAAATTTTGGCTACAAATCATCCCAACTGTCACAGACCACCCCCCGCTCCACGCGACGCCACGAAGTGCTCTTCGTGCATCCGTCTGGCGTCCGCAGCCGTTGCACCTGCCGTACCAGCCCCGTACGGCCCACCCCGTACAACCGTACGCACATGCTCTACTGTAGCCGCCGCCGCAAGTATGGGAGCAGAAGACACATCGGCGTATCCGGCCGCCAGATGCTGCTGCTGCTGCTGTGCCGCCGCCGGCCCCGCCGCCGCCGCCGCCGCCGCGGACACCGCCGCCCACAAGGCCGCCACGGCGGCATGTCGCCAGTTGCAACCCGCCGCGCAACTCTCGCTGCTCGCGTCCGTAATCCTGCCGTACAGATTTGGGGTCGTAACGACCTCGATCGCGAACCAGTTCCGGAGCGACAGCGCGGCGATACACCTGGACCACCACCACCACCACGACCACCACCCGGCGGGGGGGGGGGATGGGCGGGAGGTGGGAGACCATGACCGGGACGGGGGGAGGGGGTAACAAGGAAGTCAAATGAATAAGCGGGATGACGAGGTCGGCGGAAATTTGGGGAGCCCGTATCCAAATCGTAACCGCGCCCAGGCAAATAGCCGCAATGAAAACGTCGACTTGGTGTAAAATCTCCTCCCACTCCCACGCCCACTCCACCCTCCGCTCTCACGTACATTGCGTTTTCTCTTATGCACAGCTTCGAGAACCTTCGA